ACTGTTCTTGTGCTTGTGTAATAAAACTGTAATTACTTTTGGAGAAACATTTTATTAGCATGTTGTTACATAATACTTTGGTAATTGCATTTTAATTGCATAGCAATGAGCTGAAAGTTTTTTGCAAGAGGAATAGTGACTGTTCCTTATACCACTTATGTAATAACCCCATTATTATGCAATTATAAAGCAATTTCCAAAGTCCTATGTAACAACAATGTTGCTATTGTAATAATCACAAAGTTACAAGTGTTACTGTATTACCTGATGTCTCACTCATTATGAAAATGTATTTGTTAGTAATTTGGAAGCTGCAAAAGTGGTCTACTCTAATGTTGAGGTGATTCCATGTCCCTCATGTATTTAATTCTAGGCTATAGGCTATATTAAAATGTATATCTAAGAGCCCTCCTAACCATGTGCTTATGATCATATATTTAGACTAATTCAATTAACTGTTGTAGTTTTTGGCAGCCATCAAATAAATACATTTTAGTTTTTTAAATGTCACTTGGATATATTCAAATACCTTCAATAATTTGTGGTTTTCTGAGAGGTATTCAAAATACTTTCAAATATTTTTTTTTTTTCTGACACCTGTATTTGAACATTAAAGAAAATAGTTGCCTTTTAGTTGAAACTCTATATAAACTATATTAGACTACCTTGAGTATTTGAAAAGTTGGTATTTTCAAATAAACTACAAAATACAACTATTTTCAGCCCAGGTCTGCAGTGTATTATCATTGTGACTTCCACACGACATCCCTGAGGCGCGCGTCTTCATGTAACCTTGACTAACCTTTCACTCCTGTCCTGTACATTACCCTTTAATATCAGGATTTTATGGATAGATTGTCAAGTGAGGCCAGAACGATTCTATTGTTTCTCACTAGGAATCTCCCATGCTGTACTGTGTGTGTGTTAAACAGCTAAATTAGATTGCCTACGGACTCCTCCCTGGGAATTGTATCTGGTAGATCTTATTATGTTTCCTAATCTTCTCATATTAACTCTCATATTCCTCCCCAGGGTGTCCTAGCTCAGATAGACAGACTCTGTCTTTCTGCCGGTGTGTGTACAGCGATCATCCCTTTCTCCTCTCCTCTGTCCCATAGTTTTCTTCTCCTCCTTCTCCTCTCATTTACGCTGTCCTGGCATCATGGGGGAGCTTGTTCCACCATTGGGGTGCCAGAGCAGCGAATATCTTTGACTGGGCTGAGCGGGAACTGTGCTTACGTAGAGATAAGGGGGCTAGCAGGCCCTCTGTTCTCAGGGTGTGTTGTTTGGTAGAATCTGGTGTTGGCAGGTTGTTTCTGGCTCTGCTGCTGGCTCTGTGATGCAGAAGGCAGAGTGGCATGTGTTTTCTCCACACTCTGTTACACTCCTACGTCAGTGCTGCAGTGCACACAGTGATGTAAAATTTCCCACCTCTCCCAGTGTAGCACAGACTTCCCAGAAATTGTTACAACAAGTGGTGGCAATTTTATTGGCTTTGTATAATGTCAGGTTGTTTATTTGCGATGGACTGTACAGAGAGAAGAAAGGTGATCCAAGCCCTCAATGGAAAAACAGAGTAACATGCTTTGGGTGGACTGAACATGAGAGTGTCTAAAAGAGCAAGATCACACACACGGACACACACGTTCCAAGGCATGTTCCAAGTTGTGTTCGAGTGCCCCAAATGTGTTCTCTGTAACATAGTGAGACAGAATGTAGCAGCAGCACGCAGTGTCCTTCTCAGAGTCCTAGTGAGGAGATAATTCTTCCCTCAAAACCAACTCAGCCAGACAGCCAGTCATAGTAGCACATTACCGGAACCAGCTGTTGGAGAAAGCAGCTGTTGAATCAGATTACGCTAGATAAGATAATGGGCCTGTCAAGGAACTGCTTCATTTTTTCTCTCCAGATGCCATCCATAACAATTAGTAGGAACTGTTCTGTTATTATCCTGTAATGTTTGAATCAGAGAGTCTGGGTGTGAGGGGCTACAGGTGTACGTGGTATGAGGGAGGAAGGAGGAGCTCTGTCTGACCCATAGACATACATATGTGCATTATTATTGCATAATGTTTAGACACATCATTGGTCTGACATCATTGGTCTGACCCCTATCCTCTTTGTCGATTCATAAATAAAGGTGTTCGCCACTCAGGCAGCTAATTGGACAGTTAATTAATGGCTGTTTGGTCTCCCTGCATTAACCCTTAATGGCTGAAGCAAAACACAATGACTCAGAGCAGCTTGATGTAATGTTGAATGTCAGGTCTGTATATGAGGTCATCCATAGGGCCACCTATTACAGCATCTACTGTATGTGTGTATATGAGTGGGAGGGGGCTTCATGAATAATTAATGAGAAAATATGTTTGTCAGAATATTGAGAATATGAAAGAATATGAAACGTGTTTGTCTTACTTTCACCCCAAACATATAAATGGAGCAGAGCAGGCTCTCTTCCTGATTGTTTGAGTGTTATGACCATACTTTATTTCTATGGTTATGATCCTGTAAGTGCAGCACAGCACTGTTTCATAAGTGAACAAAATGGGGTATCTGAGGGATAACAGATGGGGTACTCATACTGTAATGATGTTTGAGCTGATGTTAAGAGCAGGAAGGAAGCCTCTATCAGGTACAATCTTATCACATAGTCTAATGGAGTTGCTTATGGGGCTGCTTCAGCAGCATGCAATGATCCTTAAAAAGTATATCCTGAGTGTCTTTCCATTGATTTTCTGATCAGAATAGATCAGGTAATCACATCGCTGTCTGAGTAATGTTTGTGCTGTAGATACTTTTTGTTCTTACCGTCGTCCCTTAACAGCTATTACAGTGGTCTTCTTCCATTTGCTAAATGTAGTTATGGTGTTGTTTGTTTTTGTCATAGGGAATTGCTATACCTGTAAATCGAGCTATATGCTTTGTTACTGTCAGATAGAAAAGGGTTGGGATTGGTGCACTCAGTTAGCTAGAGATGAGCCAAGACAGGATCAGAGAGAGGTTAGGGTTAGGGTGAGGAGTGTTTTCAGCACACTGCCAAAACATCCTCAGACTCAGAAGTCTAAAATGTGTACTTCACAAAGTGTAGAAAGTATAAAAGACAGAGGAAGGAAGATGAACAACTGCACCAGCATCACATAATGTCAGCAGTACTCTCTCAAAGTGGACAGCATCCCTCCCTATTCCCACAGTCAGGTACCCATCTTTAGCCTGAGAGGATCTGTGCTGTCGTGACATGGAGACATGCGCCTGCTGATAGACCTCTATCTATCCCTTGGTGGTGTCAATTAACACAAAAATAATGTCCTCACAGTGGCAGGATGAATGTAGTCGCTTGCTGTGACAGTAGCAGGCTAGTGTCCAGTGCAGATACAAGATTACAGGGTCACCCGTGGAGCAAATTAGGGTTAAGTGCCTTGCTCAAGGGCACATCGACAGGTTTTCACCTTGTCGGGTCAGGTAGTCGAACCAGCAACCTTTCAGTTACTGGCCCAATGCTCTAACCACTACACTACCTGCTTGTACTTCTACAAGCCCATAAAATTTGGGGAAACAACTTGACATTCTTAACTTGGCTCTTATACTCAGATTAGCTTTCTGCTTAAATGTCAACATGTATGTTTCCAGGTAAACCAGATAATGTAAATGAGCTGTCTTAGAGGTGAGGGTGACCTAATAATGCGCTCTAACTTGACCTGTCAGGTCACATCCTATCCCAGTAAGTACTTTCAGGTCACCAAAGAGCCAGGAGGGGAGCCTTGGCCAGGAAATCATACAGTTAAAAGGCATTCAAACTCATAGCAAAGATGAGCCAAATACAGTACAAATAGGCCAAGTGTGTAAGATCATTAAAGGGATAGTTCACCCAAATAAAATAAAATGGTTTCAATGTTTCAAAATCATCCCAATGTGACTGGAATTGACTGTGTAGCTCAATGAAGTCAACAAAGAAGTTACTGCAAACAACAAACACTGTTTTTTCCCCCTCTGACATCATTGCACACGTGATAGAACAGCAGAATATGTACTGCACATTTCATCAACAAAACAAAAACAATAATAAAGGTGCTGGGGCGCTGTTTCCCCAAATGCGGATTCGTATACAATTTAAAACATGCTTATTTGGGAGATATTGACTTGCATTGGGTTTTGGACATAAATGATAGCATTAGAAGACAGCAGTCAGGTAAACAAAACCATAGAATGGATTGCTGTCCCTCCTTATCCAAAGGCTTACAGGATAATGAAACAAACATTTAATTTTGTAATTTAGGTAATTATTAGGTAAACTATTTACTGTTAATCTAGTCTTCAGTGTTCAGCAGTTAACATTCGGGTCAAATCTACTTTCTACAAACACAGCAGCAGGTGGATAAATATTAGGAATCATGTCATTTCTGCTCACCAATAATCCTTTGTAAATTGGATCTGAGAATGCTGCTCCTTCATACCTGTCTTAAAATATCCAGGGGTGATACTGCATATTGATTTTGGTATATAGGACACTTCTGTGTGTATTTTTAAACCCTGTAGCTACAGGAAAGGGCTTTTATTTGCTCACCTGCCATTTTTTCCACACCTGGGTAAAGGAATACAGACTCGCGCACAAACACACACTTGCTCTCCCCTACCAGTCAGGAAGCTGGTGTCGGAAATTACAAAGGAACCAAGTACAATATCATCAGGTAGTTGATTGGGAGGAGTACAGAGAAAATGCTTACACACACACACACACACACACACACACACACACACACACACACACACACACACACACACACACACACACTCTAAAAGAGATGCACTCATGCTTAGACTTAATACATTTAGGGCTGATTTCCTGGACACATATTAAGCCTTATCCTGGACTAAAAAGAATGCTTAATGGAGAATCTCTTATGAAAAACGGATGTAATCTTTGTCATTACCAGGTGTATCTTATAGTTCTGAGACTGGCCCCGAAGCATACTTGAAAAGGATAACCAAGACCAGACAAGATGGAGATGCTCAACTTCACCAACTACTCCAACCTCAGCTCCGACAATGGAAGCAACAGTCTCTTCTCTAGGAGTCCCTACAAAACGGTAGAGATCGTCCTCATCATCCTGGTGGCCGGGTCACTCAGCCTCGTCACCATCATTGGCAACATCCTGGTTATGCTCTCCATAAAGGTTTGGATTAAAGATCCATCACTTCATTGTTTTAATTAATTATATGCTTATGATACAGGTGGTCTCTCCAATAGTTGAAAAGGTCGGCTATTGGATAGCCAATATTCAGTACACCTAAAATACTGGAGACCTGTTATTCTTTAGTGTTGTGATGCAAAGATATTGGCAAAGTGAATTGCACATTGTTAGGGTCAGGAGTTACTCCTGGTCCTACACATATCATTGTCTTTTTTGACAATGTATTTTCTAATATTCTCCTGTATGCTCTCCATGAAGGTCAATAGGAACCTCCAGACTGTCAACAACTATTTCCTGTTCAGCCTAGCCTGTGCTGACCTCATCATTGGCCTGTGTTCCATGAACCTCTACACCGTCTACATTGTGATTGGACACTGGCCCTTAGGCCCAGTCATGTGCGACCTGTGGTTGGCCATTGATTACGTGGTCAGCAACGCCTCGGTTATGAACCTCCTCATCATCAGCTTCGACCGCTACTTCTGCATCACCAAGCCTCTCAGCTATCCGGTGCGCCGCAGCACCACGATGGCGGGGCTGATGATTGCGGCGGCCTGGGTGCTGTCATTCGTACTATGGGCCCCTGCCATCTTGTTCTGGCAGTTCATCGTGGGTGGGCGGACGGTGCCGCCTGGCGAGTGCTACATCCAGTTCTTCTCCAACGCAACGGTGACATTTGGCACAGCCATCGCAGCCTTCTACCTGCCTGTGGCCATCATGATCAGCCTTTACTGGCGCATATCCAGGGCCAGCCGCAGCCGGGTACGGAGGAACAGCAGGAAACCTTCAGGGAATAGCCTGGGAGAAGGCCCATCGCAGAGCCAGGAGGATGGGTTCAGGGCCCAGCCCAACGACTGCACTGTGACTGGGGAGGAGGAGGAGGAGGAGGAGGAAGGTGGGGATGGAGAGAAGGCCGGGGAGGGGGTCCAGCAGAAGAATGGCAGGGAGCCCTGCAGAGGGTATGGGCCAGACAAAGATAGCTCTACCACAACATCCAATCAAAGGGAAGAGCCTGGCCTATCACAGAAGGGGTCAAACGGTGAGGCCAAACCCAGCCAGACGCGGTGTTGCTCTCAGAACCAGGCCACATGCTGCGGGCCCAAACTCTCCTGTATCAGAAGCAACCCCTGGCCTGAGGGAGAGACATACACAGCCACGCACAGCAACACAGATTCCACCCCTGCCACAGAGAAACACAGCCTGGTGACACGGACGCTGTTAAAGGTGTTGATATATATAATGTACAGCAGAATATATATGTGTATTCAAATACTGAAGGAGAAATTTAAAGTGAATAAAAAAAATATATACACTGAGTATACAAAACATTAAGAACACTTGCTCTTTCCATAACATAGACTGACCAGGTGAATCCAGGTGAAAGCTATGATCCCTTATTGATGTCACTTGTTAAATCCACTTCAATCATTGTATACTACCGGTCAAAAGTTTTAGAACACCTACTCATTCAAGGGTTTTTCTTTATTTTTACGATTTTCTACATTGTAGAATAATAGTGAAGACATCAAAACTATGAAATAACACATATGGAATCATGTAGTAACCAAAAAAGTGTTAAACAAATCAAAATATATTTTATATTTGAGATTCTTCAAATAGCCACCCTTTGCCTTGATGACAGCTTTGCACACTCTTGGCATTCTCTCAGCCAGCTTCACCTGGAATGCTTTTCCAACAGTCTTGAAGGAGTTCCCACATATGCTGAGCACTTCTTGGCTGCTTTTCCTTCACTCTGTGGTCCGATTCATCCCAAACCATCTCAATTTGGTTGAGGTCAGGGGATTGCGGAGGCCAGGTCATCTGATGCAGCACTCCATCACTCCTTCTTGGTAAAATAGCCCTTACACAGCCTGGAGGGTCATATGGACTCCAGACCAAAGGACACATTTCCACCGGTCTAATGTCCATTGCTCGTGTTTCTTGGGCCAAGCAAGTCTCTTCTTCTTATTGGTGTCCTTTAGTAGTGGTTCCTTTGCAGCAATTTGACCATGAAGGCCTGATTCACACAGTCTCCTCTGAACAGTTGATGTTGAGATGTGTCTGTTACTTGAACTCTGTGAAGCATTTATTTGGGCTGCAATTTCTGAGGCTGGTAACTCTAATGAACTTATCCTCTGCAGCAGAGGTAACTCTGGATCTTCCATTCCTGTGGCGGTCCTCATGAGAGCCAGTTTCATCATAGCACTTGAAGAAACGTTCAAAGTTCTTGAAATGTTCTGTATTGACTGACCTTCATGTCTTAAAATAATGATGGACTGTTGGTTCTCGTTGCTTATTTGAGCTGTTCTTGCCATAATATGGACTTGGTCTTTTACCAAATAGGGCTATCTTCTGTATACCCCCCCTACCTTGTCACAACACAACTGATTGGCTCAAACGCATTAAGAAGGCACACCTGTTAATTGAAATGCATTCCAGGTGACTACCTCATGAAGCTGGTTGAGAGAATGCCAAGAGCTGTCATCAAGGCAAAGTGTGGCTATTTGAAGAATTTGTTTAACACTTCTTTGGTTCTTTGGTTACAACATGATTCCATATGTGTTATTTCATAGCTTTGATATCTTCACTATTATTCTACAATGTAGAAAAGAGTAAAAAATAAAGAAAAACCCCTGAATGAGTAGGTGTTCTAGAACTTTTGACCGGTAGTGTAGATGAAGGGGAGGAGACAGGTTAAAGAATGATTTTTAAGCCTTGAGACAATTGAGTCATTGATTGTGTATGTGACCCATTCAGAGGGTGAATTGGCAAAAGTGCATTTGAAAGGGGTATGGTAGTAGTTGCCAGGCGCATCAGTTTGTGTCAAGAACAACAACGCTCAACAGGTTTCCTTGTGTATCAAGAATGGTCCACGACCCAAAGGACATCCAGCCAACTTGATACAACTGTGGGAAGCATTGGAGTCAACATGGGCCAGCATCCCTGTGGAACACTTTCGACACCTTGTAGAGTCCATGCCCCGACGAATTGCGAATTGAGGAAGTTCTGAGGGCAAAGGGGGGTGCAACTCAATATTAGAAAGGTGTTCCTAATGTTTGGTATACTCAGTGTCAAAAAGCTTAAGAGATTTTACAGTTGAAGTCGGAAGTTTGCATACACCTTAGCCAATTACATTTAAACTCAGTTTTTCACAATTCCTAACATTTAATCCTTGTAAAAATACCCTGTCTTAGATCAGTTAGGATCACTAATTTATTTTAAGAATGTGAAATGTCAGAGTAATAGTATAGAGAATGATTTATTTCAGCTTTTATTTATTTCATCACATTCCCAGTAGGTCAGAAGTTTACATACACTCAATTAGTATTTGGTAGCATTGCCTTTAAATTGTTTAACTTGGGTCAAACGTTTCGGGTAGCCTTCCACAAGCTTCCCACAATAAGTTGGGTTTGTAGGCCTCCTTGCTCGCACATGCTTTTTCAGTTCTGCCCACAAATGTTCTATAGGATTGAGGTCAGGGCTTTGTGATGGCCACTCCAATACCTTGACTTTGTTGTCCTAAAGCCATTTTGCCACAACTTTGGAAGTATGCTTGGGGTCATTGTCAATTTGGAAGACCCATTTAAGACCAAGCTTTAACTTCCTGACTGATGTCTGGAGATGTTGCTTCAATATATCCACATAATTTTCCTTCCTCATGGTGCCATCTATTTTGTGAAGTGTACCAGTCCCTCCTGCAGCAAAGCACCCCCACAGCATGATGCTGCCACCCCCGTGCTTCACGGTTGGGATGGTGTTATTCGGCTTGCAAGCAGCCCCCTTTTTCCTCCAAACATAACGATGGTCATTATGGCCAAACAGTTCTGTTTTTGTTTCATCAGACCAGAGGACATATCTCCAAAAAGTACAATCTTTCTCCCCATGTGCAGTTGCAAACCGTAGTCTGGGTTTTTTATGGCGGTTTTGGAGCAGTGGCTTCTTCCTTGCTGAGCGGCGTTTCAGGTCACGTCGATATAGGACTTGTTTTACTGTGGATATAGATACTTTTGTACCTGTTTCCTCCAGCATCTTCACAAGGTCCTTTGCTGTTGTTCTGGGATTGATTTGCACTTTTCGCACCAAAGTACGTTCATCTCTAGGAGACAGAATGCGTCTCCTTCCTGAGCGGTATGACGGCTGCGTACTATTGTTTGTACAGATGAATGTGGTACCTTCAGGCATTTGGAAATTGCTCCCAAGGATGAGCCAAACTTGTGGAGGTCTACAATTTTTTTTCTGAGGTCTTGGCTGAATTCTTTTGATTTTCCCATGATGTCAAGCAAAGAGGCACTGAGTATTTCAAGGTAGGCCTTGAAATACATCCACAGGTACACCTCCAATTGACTCAAATTATGTCAATTAGCCTATCAGAAGCTTCTAAAGCCATGACATCATTTTCTGGAATTTTCCAAGCTGTTTAAAGGCACAGACAACTTAGTGTATGTAAACTTCTGACCCACTGGAATTGTGATACAGTGAATTATAAGTGAAATAATCTGTCTGTAAACAATTGTTGGAAAAATTACTTGTTGTCATGCACAAAGTAGATGTCCTACCAACTTGCCAAAACTATAGTTTGTTAACAAGACATTTGTGGAGTGGTTGAAAAACAAGTTTTAATGACTCCAACCTATGTGTGGTAGGGGAGAAGGTATCATCATGTACATCATCTGGTACAAATATCTATCACTTTTCTGTCTCCAGGTGACCAAGAGGAACTCCAAGCAGAGCTCCAAGAGGAAGACGAAGAAGAGGAAGGGCCCTCCGTCTCGGGAGAAGAAGGTGACGCGCACCATCATGGCCATTCTGGTGGCATTCGTGGCCACGTGGACGCCATACAATGTGATGGTGCTCATCAACACCTTCTACTCCAGCTGCATCCCCAACTCGCTGTGGACCTTTGGCTACTGGCTGTGCTACATCAACAGCACCGTCAACCCGGCCTGCTACGCCCTGTGCAACACCACCTTCAAGAACACCTTCAGACAGCTGCTGCTCTGCCAGTACAGGAACATACGCACAATGAGGTCATGAGGACCAGGGGGTCAGGGGTCATGGCTGGGAAGCTGCTGTCTTCATTCACTCAGATACTCACAGATCTGATAGGACTGGATAGGTGAAAGTAGGTGAAGCTATTGTTTAGGCCTACCCAGTCGTCTTTGATCCGTGCAGGGGGCTGAACCAGGGCAGAAGGAAGAGGGGAGACAACTTCTTAGAATTAAATGCAGCTCAGATGTGTATCTATGTTGGTTGTGGTTTTACATGAGTAGGTTCCAAATTAGACTGCTATTCTCATGAAACATTTGGTTTCAACATGGTGGCTAAACTCTGTTTACATAATGACTATCTATGTTATGTTTTGGGTATGTGACACACATGTCTACTCCATGGTATGTATTTGGATGTCTCTGGTATGTCTGGGTGATTCTGTCTTACGTCTTGTGATTGCTTGTTGTTCAGCGCTTGTTTGCTGTTTGCTACACAGGTGCAGTGGCAGAGGTTTGCTCGGAGCTGTTTCTGCACTGTTCAGACACTTAAGGTTGATATACTATGACACATGGTTATAGATGTTCCCCTATGTAAGTATAAATTAGGTTTAGCTTGTTCAAATAAGATAGTATTCTGAGAAAGAACATAAAAACACCAGTACTGTCGATATATATCTAGGAGAAGAAGAGGAAAGAGAGAGAAGAGAGGAAGAAGACTGAGAATTTCCCGCACTACCAAAAGCAACAGTTTCAGAGAAACATAAGACTGTACAAATACACCTGTAAATATACATATACACTATATATACAAAAGTATGTCGACAACCCTTCAAATTAGTGGATTTGGCTATTTCAGCCACACCTGTTGCTGACAGGTGTACAAAATCGAGCACACAGCCATGCAATCTCCATAGACAAACATTGGCAGTAGAATGGCCTTACAGAAGAGCTCAGTGACTTTCAACGTCGCACAGTCATAGGATGCCACCTTTCCAACAAGTCAGTTCGTCAAACTTCTGCCCCGCTAGAGCTGCCCCGGTCAACTGTAAGTGCTGTTATTGTGAAGTGGAAACATCTAAGAGCAACAACGGCTCAGCCACGAAGTGGTAGGCCACACAAGCTCACACAACAAGACAGCTGAGGGCTGAAGCGCGTAGAGCGTAAAAATCGTCTGTCCTTGGTTGCAACCCTCACTACCGAGTTCCAAACTGCCTCTGGAAGTAACGTCAGCACAAAAACTGTTAGTCGGGAACTTCATGAAATTAGTTTCCATGACCTAGCAGCCGCACACAAGCCTAAGATCACCATGGACAATGCCAAGCGTCAGCTGGAGTGATGAATCCAACCTCATCGAACACCTTTGGGATGAATTGGAACGCCGGCTGCGAGCCAGGCCTAATCGCCCAACATCAGTGCCCGACCTCACTAATGCTCTTGTGGCTGAATGGAAGCAAGTCCCTGCTGCAATGTTCCAACATCTAGTGGAAAGCCTTCCCAGAAGAGTGGAGGCTGTTATAGCAGCAAAGGGGGGACCAACTCCATATTAATGCCCATGATTTTGGAATGAGATGTTCGACAAGCAGGTGTCCACATACTTTTGGTCATGTAGTGTATCTGTGAGTGAGTGAGTCTGCGTACACCATGCGTCTGCCTTCAGAAAGTATTCACAGCTCTTTACTTTTTCGACATTTTGTTGTGTTACAGCCTGAATTTGAAATTGATTCAATTGAGATTTTGTTTCACTGGCCTACACACAATACCCCATAATGTCTAAGTGGAATTATGTTTTTAGAAATGTTCACAAATTAATGAAAATTAAAAGCTAAAATGTCTTCAACCCCTTTGTTATGGCAAGCCTGAATATTTTTTTTATTAACAAGTCACATAATAAGTTGCATGGACTCACTCTGTGTGCAATAATAGTGTTTAACATTATTTTTTTAATGACTACCTCGTCTCTGTACCCCACACAAGTGAATTTCAAAAACAGGACCAGGGAGGTTTTCAATGCCTCGCAAAGAAGGGCACCTATTGGTAGATGGGTAAAAATAAAAAAAAGCAGACATTGAATATCCCTTTGAGCATGGTGAAGTTATTAATTACACTTTGGATGGTGTATCAATACACCCAGTCATTACAAAGATACAGGAGTCCTTCCTAACTCAGTTGCCGGAGAGGAAGGAAACTGCTCAGGGATTGCACCATGAGGCCAATGGTGACTTTAAAACAGTTACAGAGTTTAATGGCTGTGATAGGACAGAGTGAAAAGAAGGAAGCCTGTACAGAATACAAATATTCCAAAACAATATTCATGTTTGCAATAAGGCACTAAAGTAAAACTGCAAAAACCTTAACTTCATTTCCTGAATACAAAGCGTTATGTTTTGGACAAATCCAACACACCACATCACTGAGTACCACTCTTCATATTTTAAAGCATGGTAGTTGCTGCATCATGTTATTGGTATTCTTATCATCAGTAAGGACTAGGGAGGTTTTTTTTAAATAAAAAGAAACGGAATAGAGCTAAGCACAGGCAAAATCCTAGAGAAAACCTGGTTCAGTCTGCTTTCCAACAGACACTGGGAGACAAATTCACCTTTCAGCAGGACAATAACCTAAAACACAAGGCCAAATATACACTGGAGTTGCTTACCAAGACTACATTGCATGTTCCTGAGTGGCCTAGTGACAGTTTTGACTTAAATCTGCCTGAAAATCTATGGCAAGACTTGAAAATGTCTGTCTAGCAATGATTAACAACCAACTTGACAGAGCTTGAATACTTTTTTAAAGAATAACGTGCAAATATTGTGCAATCCAGGTGTGCAAAGCTCTTAGAGATTTACCCAGAAAGACTCACAGCTGTAATCGCTGCCAAAGGTGATTCTAACATGTATTGACTCGGGGGTGTGAATAGTTATGTAAATGAGATATTTCTGTATTTCATTTTCAAAAAATTTGCAAACATTTCTAAAAACATGTTTTCACTTTATCATTATGGGGTATTGTGTGTAGATGGGTGAGAGAAAAAATATATTTAATGGATTTTGAATTCAGGTTGTAACACAACAAAATGTGGAATACTGTAAGTCAAGGGGTATGAATACTTTCTGAAGGCACTGTATATTTATGTGCTTATGGGGGGAGAGGAGTATACTGTATATACCGATAAAGAAAAATGCTAAACCACAGCTGTTATTCAACCCTTTAACTGTATAACGTGAGCTATTGCGATATAACTACCTTTGGTCCCCATTACCTATCCTCTACCCTCCCCTCCTCTTGTCCTGCTTATTCATACTCCATACATTTAACCACAACAGGTATTTTGAATTGGGAATAAATGAAAAATAATATGTCAAACTGAATGTCCTTTCTTTATCACAGAGAATGGTTTAGAGCACTATTCAACATGGTAACACATCAACCAACAATTTTCACCACCTTGAAAATGGATCTTACTGGGAAATGACACAGTGATGTGGTTCGGGGGTGGTTTTTTGTCTGTGTTCATATTTTCCAGCTCAGATAGCTCATTCATCTCCACCAGAAGACAGCTATTGAGAGAGGAATATGTGTATTTATCATCTAGACTAGCCAAAGCATCAGTCATCAGACACAGGTCATAATATCATAATTCCCCTGTCTTCAGTAGTGCTATAAATCACAGCATGAAAAACACAACATCAACAACAGTAGTTAAGGCCCATTCACTTGGACTGTCGTACTGTATGTGGGACATCATGTGTAACACAGCCCTCCAAACACACACAAACACATCCACACACACTGTGTGTGTGGTGTTTTCATTTATGTACTGGTACTGTGGGTGCCAGGATAAGTACTGGGTTGTGGGAGCTACAGTGGTGTGGGTAATGGTGTAATGTTGTTCAGATTACAGGGACTCCTATGTCCTAACTCCTAACTGGATGCTCATCTTGCATTGATTGCTGAGGTGTGAGTGCCCTCTAGAGGTTAAATTGATGGGACACAGCAACATAGAGGCACTTGGATGCCATTTTGCACCAGACATGGTAGTGTGTGTGTGCATTGTGGTTGGTATGGCAGGGGATATGCTGATTGCTACCAAAAATAAACCTGACTTTAATGTCATATGCAAGCTAGAAGAGAACATCAGTGTCATGTTGTGAATGTAGCCAGTACCAATGTAGCCTATTTTGTCCATAACCATTGCTATCAGGTTTACAGACTGGGGGTTGACATAACGGCCACACAGTCAAAGTTTGACACAACTTTAAAAGCTGGCTGGACCGACATGATGCACAGAGGGCTGTTCTGATATCCCCTGGTACGTGTCAGTATGTTGCTCAAATGAATACCAAGAGAGACGAGAGAAAAATAAATAAAATATTCAGCGTCAAACAAGACTTTGACGCCAAGCCGTTCAACTTCAGAAGAAATCCTGTTTGAGATGAGTAGGCCTATAATAAAGCAAACCGAACCTTGGCCTACAGCCATTCATCAAGCTGGGGACCCCAATGAAAATAGATCCACAGGTGAACCGTGTAGAATAATGATGGTGGTCAACGTAGGCCCTTTGGAATTGGGGCACTGTTTTTTCATTCCCGAGCCCAACCAGTCCTTTCCCCAGGCCGATCCTGGCACCATCCAAATCGGAATCTTATTCGTGCTCTGGGCCCAGTTTTTCCAAACTTTTAATCTGGATCAGAATGATCCTGATTCTGTAAACCTATTTTTTGCAATCCAGGATCAGATCGATCTGGCTGTTAAGACGTTTTAAGAAAATAATTAGATAGGATCATTCTGATCCAGATACCACAACATCAAGATCACAGAATCCAAATGGATGCAAACTCAACGACAGTGATGACACAGACAGCAGTGCGCTAGAGAGCGATGAGCATGCCTCGTTGCGCACTATTTACATGCTCTGTCCATTGGGCACACACTGGTTGAATCAACATTGTTGCCACGTCATTTCAACGGAGCTGCCGCTTTCAAGGAGCGGGACTCTAATAAGGACGCTTATAAGAAATCCCGCTACGACCTCCGACGAGCCGTCAAACAGTCAAAACGTCAATACAGGACCAGTGGTGTAAATGACTTAAGT